AGGGAGAAGCCACAGCCTGAGCAAAAGTCAGGAGACTCTGAAAACTAAAACCAAACTCACTGCCATCCAGTTGATTCTGACCCATAGCAACCCCCTCTGGGTTTCCAAGGCTGTAAATCTTTATGGAAGGGAAGGAGACTGCCTTGTGTCTCTTCCGTGGAGTGGCTGGTGGATTTGAGCCACCAACCTCTTGGTTGACAGCCAAATACCTTAACCATTACATCACCAGAACTCCTTAAAGAGATTCCTGGGTGATACAAGTGGTTTGTGCTCATCTACTAAAGAGTGGTGGTTTGAACCCCTCTGAAGGTCCCATGAAAGCAGACCTGTCGATCTGCTTCCATAAATTACAACCAAGGAAACCCTGTGGAGCTTAGGTCTTCTCCGTAACACATGGGCTGACCATGAGTTGTAATCAGTTAGACAGCAACAGGCTTATCCAGGGAAAAGTGAGTGTGTACGTGAGTCCCTCAGCCCACCTCTAAGATTTTATCTGCCCGTGTTTTCTCTGCAGAATCACTCTGCCTCCATGACAGAAGTTACCTGAGAAGACTGATGGGCTACAAGATGTTTTTTTTACCATCCTCCAATTCGATACTTCAAGACACACAGTTACTCAATGTCCAACTGTGAAGACAAGTATTATGTTTATCTAGTTACAGGCTAATGTTTTGTACATTTTTTTGTATGAGGAAGTGATGTAGCTTGCCCTGATTTTTTTTTTTTTTTTTTGGTCAGCTTTAATATATTTATGCCAGAATTTTAAAACCAACAAAATTTTCTTCTTGTACAGGTGTGCATTGAAGAACCACATTTACTCAATGGTTGATGTTATTTTGTGATATTTGTACACAAACTTTCTTTTCTCAGTTTTATAAACACAAAATTAATATAACAATTCACTTTAACCTTTTGTTACTACAGTTGCTGCCTCCTCTAGAATGTTTGAATTTTAATGAAAATCAAACCTTTGAGTTACAGGGAGGACAGTGTCGGTTAAAATCAATTGTGCAAAAGAAGAAACATTACTTTCAAAAGGAGCTTTGTGCTCTGATGCTTTATCAGGTTGTTGCATTTTACATTAATAGTAAGAAATTAGTGAAGTTGCTTGTTGATACAATTGGCAGAGAATCCGGGACTTAGTGGGCGTTGGGGTTAGATGAGAGGAGTCCTGGTGGTGCAATGCTTAAGTGCTTGGCAGCTAACTGAAAGATGGGCAGTTCAAACCCACCACTGGAGAAAAATGAGGCCGTCTGCTTCTGTAAAGATTTACAACCCTGGACACCCTATGGGGCAGTTCTACTCTATCCCATAGGGTCACTGAATCAGAACCAACTTGATAGCAATTGGTTTGGCTGGGTTTGGGGTTAGATGATTCTTTCTTAGATAATGGCCTCGCCCACCTGAAAAACTCAAGAACTTTCCAGAACTATTTCCTTGGGCAGGCAGGTGACATTGGAAAGCCTTCTGCCCCGCCTCCCCCCCCCCAAAAAAAAAGCAGCCAGCACCAGTCTCCCTGTCAACTCAACTGTTTTGTATACCATATTGTATGGGCTTTCTATGAAAATGAGTATTTTACAGTTTGCACAGTATTATTTTACGGAAAGGTCATCAGTGCATCTATAACATACAGCCCCAGAGCAACAGCTTCTCTTTATGGCTTTTCATTGTTCTAGGATTTTAATTGCATCTCATTTTTCTAGCATGGTGATAACTAATGTGTACCTCCTTGGAGAGAAGGAGCTCCCTTGTCTGTACCTACCAGAATGTTCTCTTGACACTTCCATGTTGGCTCTTCTTAGCATTTTTGTACATATTTTTTTTCTAAAGAGAGAAAAAAAATGTTATCACAAAATGTATTTTGGCTCATGTCCTTTGTTTTAAGTCTCATCTGCTGGGCAAAGTATTTGAAGTTGACGTCAACAAATATTGATTCTCGGTGCCATCCCTAAGATAAATCCTTATAGGGACAGGACTGAGAGGTTATTTGTTAAATGAAGGGGGGAGGGAGGAAAAGAAAGAGAAAAGACAAAATAAAAATTTTGAAATTATTTAGACATTCAGGGGCACTTTCTGGATGGCTAGCATGCCAACTATGTCATCTGCCTGACCACGGCACTTTGGAATTTTCAAAAAGGCAGTCATTTTTAGGAATAAAGATTACCTCTGAGAAAACTTTCTCTAATACCCCATCTCATTCTGGCCCATGCTTATCCACACATACACACATACATGTCTTCTTAGTGACATCTGACTAAAGTTGGAGATGGGGCAAGAAAGGAAAGCATATTTAAGATTCTCCTTGTCCCCGGTGATTTGCCAAACGCTTTCACATATCAGTCATTCTCACAACAATGAGTCCAGGGAAGCTGTGATGACTCCAAGATCAATATCAGAACCCAGATCTGCCTGAAATTCCACTCTTTCTACCAAGCTCTGTTGCCTTTGAACCAAGCTCACATCTTTCCAAAGGTTTTTCAATGTGATGTACTTACTGAGATGGTTCAGGAGGCAGTGTGGGGAAACAAAGACATTGTGAGATGTATCCTTACAATGAGAAGGAATAATTCACAAGCTCTGAACCCACCAATCTTGTATAAGCTACTGAAATGCAATGTCACTGATTTTAGAATGATTCATTTTCTATCTATAAACATTTTAGAATGTTACAAAGAAGAAACTCCAGCTCAATTTTCTTTCTTTCTTTCTTTTTTTTTTTTTTTTTT